TAAAAATGAGTTATTTTATAAAGGGGGCAAATGAACTCAGAGTTAACAGACTGAACGTTTGTAATGCAAAAAGGTTATGTTTGGTGAACAAACCCAATTCCATGGTTATAGGTTATGTGTAATATTTCTACTTTATGAAGCAAAATATGCAAAAAAGTGTCTTACATTGGGTTAAGCGCTTTGAAACATGTTTCATTCTTGCAGAGACTATACTATATTTGCCAATGTTCAAATCTGTTGAATCAAATTTAGAACATAAGGTAACACACAGATGTGTCCGCAGAGTACTGAGGTATAGATATGTCCACAGAGTACTGAGGTATAGTTGTGTCCACAGAGTACTGAGGTATAGATGTGTCAACAGAGTACATGATTAAAAACTGAGGTATAGATGTGTCCACAGAGTACATGATTAAAAACTGATGTATAGATGTGTCCAGAGTACATGATTAAAAACTGAGGTATAGATGGGATTCCGCGTACTTAAATGGAAATTTTACAAAAATGTGACGCTTTTCGAAAAAATGTAAAATGTAACATTTTAGCCAAAGATGGATTGGATTGGGGACCGTATATTAATATCATTTAACCATCTCTACATAATCTTTGAAAAAATCGGGGTATATTCCGACTTATTTTGCTCACCAAAAACAATATGTTGATATAAAGTATACATGTAGTAATAAAGAAAGGAAAATAACTTTAATAATGAGTCACCGAATCGCTTCATATCAAATTGATTGCTACATTATGAGAATATAACGAATGTTTATATTGTCAACTCTTCTAACGATTGCAAAGGATTAATGACAAAAAGAAAATCCGTTAAGAAGGGTTAAACATGGTGAGGTTCAAAACCGCAATAACTGTTAAATGTCATACGCCAAATGTCTAATCGACATTTTTCAAAAGCACAAGAAGAAAAAAAATTGCATAATAAGAAAACAGAAAAAAGAAAATCACAATGAAATCAGAAGGTCTTTCCAAGGAAAAGGGGATAACTAATGATTAAGGCTCGTCAAGTTGGTTTGGTATTCCTTATTATACCCCACGCAACGAGTTGCGGAGGGTATAATGTTTTTGACCCGTCTGTCTGTCTGTCCGTCTGTCAGTCCGTCAGTCCGTCAGTCCATCATGCCGTCAGTCCTGTTTCTTGTCATCGCAACTCCTCTCAAACCACACAACATAATTTCACGAAACCTTTTTAGATAATAAGGACATACTATGTAGTTGTGCATATCGACAGGAAATTGCGATTCAATTTTTTTTCTAGGAGTTACGCCCCTTTGAACTTATTTACTTTAATGTACTACTGCAACAGTTTGTCATCGCAACTCCTCTGATACCACACAACAGAATTTCATGAAACCTATTTAGATAATAAGGACATACTATGTAGATGTGCATATCGACAGGAAATTACGGTTCAATTTTTTTCTAGGAGTTACGCAACTTTGAACTTATTTGCTTCAATGTACTACTTCAACAGTTTGTCATCGCAACTCCTCTGATACCACTCAACAACGTCATGTCTAATACTAAATGCATAAAAACTGGTGTACCACAAGGCTCTATCCTTGGCCCTCTGTTATCTATTTTATATATCAATGATTTACCACTGAACATAAAAAATTCATTAATAGATTTATATGCAGATGATTCTACATTACATAGTAAAGGTAATAATGTACTTCAGTTAACTGCTAACCTTCAAAATGATATTCATGTAATTGAAAACTGGTGTTCGCAAAATTGTATGAAACTAAATGCCAAAAAGTGTAAATCAATGATTATTGGTTCAAAACAGAGGCTTTATTCAACTGGGAACAGTTTAGATATCAAAATTTCAGATGAACAAATAGAGAATGTAGATTGTGAAAAAACTTCTCGGTTTATATATCGACAAAAACCTAAATTGGAATGAGCAAATATATAAAATGTCATGTACAATATCAAATAGAATCAATTTACAAAAGATAAAAAAATATTTACCTATGCATATACGTATTATTTATTTTAATGCTTATTTTCTGCCATTGTTTAATTATTGTTGCAATATATGGGGAAGTTGCTATGAAAGTGGAATAAATAAACTTAATAAGTTATTAAAAAATCTGCTAGGGTTATAGTAGAAGCTGACATAATGACATCATCCAGTTTGTTGTTTAATAGTTTAAACTGGTTAAATGTGGAAAAACGCATTCAATATCAAAAGGCAATACTTGTATTTAAATCATTAAATGATATGGTTCCTAACTATTTACAAGAAAACTTTCATTTTATTGGTTATCAGAATTATAATTTACGTTCGGCTGATGAAAAACTATTAAATCTTCCGAAACCAAAAACAAACTGTTTAAAGAAAACATTTACATATTCAGGTTCTCAAATATGGAACAGTTTACCAAATGAAATAAAAATGAGTAATACACTTGTATCTTTTAAAACAAAATGTTACAAATTTTTCATCAATTGTGCAAATTAATATGCTTTTTCATTATTATCTAGATACAATTGCATATTGTGTATAATATATATTTATAATATTGTATGTACTTATAAATATGTTATTATTATTTTGAGGACTCTCAGGAAGATTAGTTTTAACTAATGGGATTATCCTCTTGAAATAAAGATTATTTATTTATTTATTTATTTTATTTAACAGAATTTCATGAAACCTTTTTAGATAATAAGGACATACTATGTAGATGTGCATATCGACAGGAAATTACGGTTCAATTTTTTTTCTAGGAGTTACGCCCCTTTGAACTTATTTGCTTCAATGTACTACTGCAACAGTTTGTCATCGCAACTCCTCTGATACCACACAACACAATTTCATGAAACCTTTTTAGATAATAAGGACATACTATGTAGATATGCATATCGACAGGAAATTATGATTCAATTTTTTTTCTAGGAGTTACGCCCCTTTGAACTTATTTGCTTCAATGTACTTCTGCAACAGTTTGTCATCGCAACTCCTCTGAAACCACACAACATAATTTCATGAAACTTTGTAGATAATAAGGAAATACTATGTAGATGGGCATATTGACAGGAAATTATGATTCAATTTTTTTTTCTTACACATATTTTATTTCTCCAATGACAATGTGGGGACGTGGGGTATGTGAGCGCGCTCACTAAGGTTCTTTAATTCCTTATGTATTCCTTATTCGCTACTTCACCACTTTGAACTCTTTTTGATTAATAGTTTCCCTGTGAGCGGCAACCTTCTATCAAGGAAATCATGATAGGAAACGTAAGCCCTGGAATATCGTATCAATTGGGAGATGCATACTCCACATGCAGGTGCTGCATTCGTTATAAATGACGAACAAGGAATAAGGAATAAAAAACGAATAAGTAACGAATAAGGAATAAATAACGAATAAGGCATAAGAAACGAATAAAGAATATGAAATAAGTAACGATTAAGGAATATGGAATAAGTCACCAACTTGACGTTTAGGGTCAAATAAATATAAGGAGATGTGGTATGATTGACAACTATCCAATTGTGTCAAAATAGAAGTTTGATTTTAAGATCTTTAGTGTTTTTAAAATTTGTCCACATTTTACCTTATTTAAGTATCTTGTGCTGATCTTTCTTTATACTGATGCCTTAACTTGGCTATTGTTTTCTCGTTTGAATTGTTTTATTTTTGGTCATGTCGGGGCCTTTATAGTTGCGTATACGGTATGTGTTTTGCTCTTATTGAAGGCCGTACAGTGACCTGTTGTTACTAAAATTTGGGTCATTTGTTCTGTGATGGATAGCTGTCTCATTTCAAATCACACCTTATCTTATTTAGATTTTTTTTTTATAAAAGCAATAATTGTCAAAAACTTTATCCCAAGATATAAAGCTTAATAAGACACCAGCACAAACATAGACCGTCTTGAATTTTTTTATCACAACGTCCTCTCTTGTATATATTAAGTCATATTCAAAATCAGGATGTTCAACATATGCTCATATTTTATATCGCAAATAGGTATTCCATGACAACACAATCTTGATAAGTCAATTTAATACTCCAACAAAAGCGGTCCGATCACGAAATCATTCCGGTAGATATGCGAATCAGTGAATGCGTATGGTAATCCAAAGTTGCCAATAACTGATAAACGATCGTTTCCAATCTTAAACTGATGTAACTTGTAATCTAAGTTGCGACCAAGTGTATCAACCATTTAAACGTTGTGTTGATGGGATACCTTAACTAATAATGAAAGCGCATGCTCTATATCAAGTATACCCCAAAATATGCATGTTAAGGATAAATATGCTGTACATGTACTTAACCCAAATAATAATTCTAAAGTACAGGGTTATGTCCCTTGACAAGGTTTAAAATGAATCTAACATTAAATTATTTTGATCCTTTAATCATTTTCTATATTATGTAGTTTTTAATCAATAGCTCTTTTTTTTTCTTTTGTAATTCAAAAGTAAATTTTGCATTTAATAAATAATTTTTGCGTACTTTAATGTCAAATTACAGAAAATAAGCTCTAGATAAATATTTATTTTTCTGTTAAAAATGCTGATAGTCGACCGTACGAAACAATCAAAGGAACTGAAGATCGTTAAACACCCCCGTATATGAGTTGTCAAGTTTGACTAAAGGGCTGTAGGTAGACATATCCAATAACTCATGAAACCATCTCATAACACTTATAACCTCACGTTAAGTAGTAGGGCTTATCCCAAAATCCTGAAATCTAGCCAGATTCAATCTTTGCTGGAATTCTGTGAACAGTAAAAACATTCCACTCCTGCATGCTACAAGAACAATTATTTTAAATAATTGTTTGATTTTATGCAATAGAACCCCACCAGCCCAAAGGAAGAAAAGGATTAAATTCCGTAATAAAGTCAAACGTAGAACAACTTAAACAAGACTCTTATGTGAAAATGTACAGTTCATTATCACCACGTATAACCCCGATACAAATCAATCTGGACGATGACGCGTTCGAATCGAACACACCGTGTACCAGTGAGTTCAGACAGAGGTAAGTAAAGTCCAATATTTATTCCTCGGATAATTTGCTTCAATATATTCTTTGCTATACTACTCATTACATACTGCAAGGTTTTTCTAAATATGTAATATTTTCAAGGCAAATATTAAAAAACGCACTACCTTGCCTCTGATAAAAGCATGCTTTCTTTTTTTAATAGTTATGAATTTTAAGTTTACCATACCTCATATTTTTTGAAACATACATTTTCGAAAATATCATCAATTAAACTTCACAAACTAATAAAGATTGTAGGTTTATATGTTACATGTATCTAGAAACAAACAAAAATGCATGTTTTTACGTGTCTTCAGTTTCAAATTGTGTACGGTTTGTTATCTATACACTTTTTTATACTGTAAGATTCGTGGCGACAATATTGTATTTGTCAAATGAATTTTGCATGTATTAAAATATGTTTTCGAATATTGATAACAATATACATGTAAAAAAAATTGCCACCATAAGCCAATATATAATCTCCGTTGTATAGTTGAAATACAGTTCGAGGTAATTTGAGTTATTTTGTACATATAAGAAGTTTTCATTGAGTTATTTTGTACAGATAAGAAGTTTCATTACCTAGATGAAAGTGTAAATTGGTTAGAAATACAATCGCTCAACAAATTACAGATATCAATGGCCAAGCGTACGGATAGACTCGTGCGACTCTTGGTAGCATTTCTTTTTCAAATCATAACCGTTTTGTTTATCGACTTTCTACAATGAGCGAATCCCATATCGTATAGAATGAATAAACGTAACCTAATTAAAAGAACTACCAACAGCAAGAGGCCTAATATATACTACAACAAAAAACGAAAACAATCAAAACATGGCAGACAGCTATCAAAGGCGACCAATGGATTACAAACTCTTGGCTTGATACCGGTAAATAATGCGGCGGGGTTAAATATTACAGACTCTTGGCTTGATGCCGATTCATAATGTGCGGTGTTAAACATTACAGACTCTTGGCTTGATACCGGTACACAATGCGGTGGGGTTAAACATTACAGACTCTTGACTTGATATCGGTACATAATGCGGCGGGGTTAAACATTACAGACTCTTGGCTTGATACCGGTTCATAATGCGGCGGGGTTAAAAATGACAGACTCTTGGCTTGATACCGGTACATAAATCGGTGGGGTTAAACATTACAGACTCTTGACTTGATATCGGTTCATAATGCGGCGGGGTTCAACATTACAGACTCTTGGCTTGATACCAGTTCATAATGCGGCGGGGTTAAAAATGACAGACTCTTGGCTTGATACCGGTACATAAATTGGTGGGGTTAAACATTACAGACTCTTGACTTGATATCGGTTCATAATGCGGCGGGGTTCAACATTACAGACTCTTGGCTTGATACCAGTTCATAATGCGGCGGGGTTAAACATTACAGACTCTTGGCTTGATATCGGTACATAATGCAGCGAGGTTAAACATTACAGACTCTTGACTTGATACCGATACATAATGCGGCGGGGTTAAACATGTTTGTAAGTCAATCATTTACCTAACCTAGGGACCAATCATTTGTAACATTCAAAAAAAAGGGGGGGTAAATTAAGGGGGCTTGAACATTTTAAGGAAATGACTTCAGTTTGGGGAAGGGCAAAGCTAATTTGATTTAAACTCTAAATCTCTGTATTACTGAAAAATTATTACACCAGGGTTTTCGATATCACAAACTAGTCAAAACATTTACTAAATTTTATCATCGGTACAAGGACATCATTTGTAAATATAAATCAACATGCAGACATCTTATACGTTCAGGTATTTCACATCCAATATTTTATGGTAATATTCTTTACAAAGCACAAAATGTCGGCATTCACCTCAAAAGCTAACCAAACCTTTAAACAGACTTATTCGGAAAGGATATAGTTACGATACTGTTGTCAAGTCATTAAGGATTGCATATTTTGGTATTAATATTGATTCACTCATAGGGACTTTGCATCGGAAATAAACACATTTATTCTAAAACCAGTTGTTGGCATGATACGGGTTATGTTCTTCTCATATATTATATGATGGTATGATATTAAATCCCTAACGGGAGGGATGGTACTTGATTTTCATATGATGAAGACATAATCTTTCAATCAGTTTAATTGAGGTCTGGAGCTGGCACGTCAGTAACTGCTAGTAGTCCTTTGTTCATTTATGTATCATTGTCGTTTTGCTTAGTTTCTTTTGTTACCTATTCTGACATCGGACTCGGACCTCTTTTAAACTGAGTTTTACTGTGCGTATTGCTATGTGTTTCTTTATTCTACATTGGCTAGAGGTATAGGGGGAGGGTTGAGATCTCACAAAACATGTTTAACCCCGCCGCATTTTTGCGCCTGTCCCAAGTCAGGAGCCTCTAGCCTTTGTTAGTCTTGTATGTTTTTTTTTAATTTTAGTTCATTTATATGTTTTGGAGTTTAGTATGACGTCCATTTTCACTGAACTAGTACACAATTTTATTTAGGGGCCAGCTGAGGACCACCTCCAAGTGCGGGATTTTCTCGCTGCGTTGAAGACCCATTGGTGGCCTTCGGCTGTTGTCTGCTCTTTGGTCGGGTTGTTGTCTCTTTGACACATTCCCCATTTCCATTCTCAGTTTTACTATCAGGATTGATGGTTTAAATGTTTTAGTAAGAACAACACTATCAGGGATGGGTGGTTAAAATGTTTTAGTAAGAACAACACTATCAGGGATGGATGGTTTAAATGTTTTAGTAAGAACAACACTATCAGGGATTGATGGTTAAAATGTTTTAGTAAGAACAAAACTATCAGGGATTCATGGTTAAAATGTTTTAGTAAGAACAACACTATCAGGAATGGATGGTTTAAATGTTTTAGTAAGAACAACACTATCAGGGATTGATGGTTAAAATGTTTTAGTAAGAACAACACTATCAGGGATTGATGGTTAAAATGTTTTAGTAAGAACAACACTATCAGGGATGGATGGTTAAAATGTTTTAGTAAGAACAACACTATCAGGGATTCATGGTTAAAATGTTTTAGTAAGAACAACACTATCAGGGATTGATGGTTAAAATGTTTTAGTATAAGCAACACTATCAGTGATTGATGGTTAAAATGTTTCAATAAGAACAACACTATCAGGGATTGATGGTTTAAATGTTTTAGTAAGAACAACAATATGTGGGATTAATGGTTTAAATGTTTTAGTAAAAACAACCTATCAGGGATTGATGGTTTAAATGTTTTAGTAAGAACAACACTATCAGGGATTGATGGTTGGAATATTTTATTTTTTGCAGGTTTTCTCGAAGCTTTTCTAATTATACCCTTTTCCATATAATAAAAATACTGATAATGCTTATAGCTGCTTCCTTACATGATTTATAAATAAGAAGAAGTGGTATGAGTGTAGCATATATTTTCTTGGTTGTAGATACTATCTGGGAGTCAAACGTTGTAGTTGTAACATGTCTTTACATGAATTATTTTTTCTTTATGACCTTGAAATTCAAACTTAGACGACCAACACCAAATGCTTCCCCCCACAATAAAAACAATACAAATTTTTTGACACGAAAGACATCAGTTTTTTTCAATTGATAAGATCCAAATCCTAAGTTTCAACATGTTATTCAAGGAAAGTATTTTCTATCTGAAGTTACTAACTTCTTTAACGTCACCTGCAGCTTTCCCTCCTGACAGGGGCAGCTCCAGGGGGTGTAGAGGGCATATGCCATCCGCTGATCGCAAAATGTATCATGTTTATATTTAATCTGAGCATTAAATTGTTCAAAAAATGTTTCTGTGGTATATAGTCCATTTTCTAGAATTACGCACACCCTTTTCACAAATTCTGGATCCGCTTCTGATTTAAGCTCTAGACCCGCTTCTGATTTAAGCTCTTGACCCACTACTGACGCATTATTTTATAGAATGACAATAGAAATTGTATGCATGTATGCATGTATTTTTTTGTTATGAAGAATACACGTAATGAAAAATATTGGGAAGGGGTGGAATTTTCATGTCTTTGGAAGGGGATCTTGAATTTATTTCCATTTTTTAAGGTTGGGACTTGAAAAGAATAAGAATATTTTCAATGTTTCCTCCAAGGTCCCCCAATGAAATAAAATGACCAGTCCACTTGGGCAGTGGTGTAAAAACACCAGATGAAAATAGACTGCACAAACAGGAAGATGCACGTTTGGGCTAATTGATGTTACATTCGGGCTAAAAATATGGTACATTTGGGCCAATAGCAAGTCGATATTTGGGCTAAATATTAAAGTTGACATTTGGGCTAATCCTCAATATGTAATATGTAAAATATCTTTATTTCAATTAAACATTAATATTCGATATGAAATAAATGACATATATTTACAACATGCTCTTGTTTTATATACCCCTTCCGATTGTCAGACCGTGGATGCTCACCACACACAGGGAGGTGAAAGATTAGTTTGAGTAACATAAGTCTCAATGACACTAAATATTGTTTAAAATTAGGCCCAACTTGAAGGTGTGAAACAGCTATAAGATAAGATATAAAAGGTACATCTAATAGATTGTCAGTACACTATTTCCAGGTTTAGGTCCTGAATTTATAGCCTTTAAAAATTAAAAGATATAATCTTGTGATAATGCCTGATCTCAACAGTAAACTCATTTCCATAAAGGGTGTAAAACTTGTTTTTATTTAAACAAGCATGGTTTCCAAATGCCGTAAATATATGTAAGTTGTATTTATAAAACAATTTTTAATACATATTTTATATACAAGTATTTCATATCAAATGTTCAAAATGATTTATTATAATGAGCGTGGTTTATGCCACACTATGCTAATTTGCTGTTAAACTTTACGTTTAATACCCAACCCATTTTCAACTTGTGAGACAGTGAGCGTGGATAACTGATTTATGAAGATGATCATAGTTAACCTACCAGTCCAAGTCATTGAACTTGCAACATTATAATTTCTTTTGGTGTAT